TTGGTAACATGACATGTGCAACATGAAGAGAAACTACCCATTGGTAGAACTCAAATTTGATAAACTAAAACAATGTAAACCGGCTTACGGTAGATCAGTGTAAAAATTTCAATACTATCTAATATTGCTGATCAAAAACTTTCTGACATAGCTTAATTTTGCCAAACAATAATTTCTGTTGAAAGTAGAGGAAATAGTGAAGCTTTTGTAATGCGGCTAACAGATTTTCTGACTTTCACTTAGTCATCTTTTTCATCTCATTCATCTATTTCTGACACCAGGATATTAACCCGTAATCTTCCATTGGAAATTGAATACCTGTAACTTCATTAATAGTTGTCCAAAATGTACGATTTTTATATAGTTTTGTAGGGAATTTCATTTCATGGGAGGAAAACAGGCTAAACGGTGTTTTTTTCGTGTATATAATATACACTTAGCGAGAGGACTCAGGGAACTCTGAAAAGTTTAGATCCGTCGAAAACCGCATATAGGAACTTTGATCCGATTGAAATACTTCTCTTACCTAGTATAAGAAGGAAAGTAATAAATTAAAACATGTGTAGAAAATACAATAAAATGTATCATCGTTAATACTACTGGTTCCATTCCGACGATTTTTTTGTTCGTTTAGTTGGTAATTTAATTACCTTTCAAAAATTATATTATAAATTTTACCGTATAATATACACTTAGCGAGTTAGGCCCCAAAATATTTTTCTTTTCTTTATAACTTCCTTTCCTCAAATTTCTCGGGAATTTAGTTCATATACGAAAATTTAAAGCACAATTATTAGAACATTATAGGAAAGTTTAATCAAAATCGTTAAATCCGTTTTCACACTACAGTATATAGAAAAACATAGAAAAACGACAACAAGCAATTGCGCATTCAGTCACAAGCATCAGTAGTCAAAACCTATCAAAATAAAAAAGACGCAACAAAATCGATTCAGTAGTTCAAGAGAAAATGTTGGCACAGACAGACAGACGAATAGCTAAATATGTGTTTTTCGGACTCAGGGAGCTCAGAAACGTATAGATCCGTCGAAAACCGCATATCAGAAATTTGGCCCGATCGCAATAACTTCTTTACCTACTATTGGTAGGAAAGTAAAAATCATAAAAAAACTTAATGAAGTCATTAATAACTAAATACCCTAATAATGACTCACTCGTTAGGACCGAGAAAACTCGACTATATTGTTCTGTTTTAACTAGTTTGCAGAAATTAAAAAATCCTCATATATTCTTGTTTTAGTTAAAACATTTAGTAGTTATACATTTCAACTAAAGTGAATAATTATATAACTGAAGGATAATTTCTTGTGGTGTATAACGTAACTAACCGCCAATGTGCAGTATAGCAAATTAATTTGAAATAAATTCTCATCGTGAAATGGATAATACTCTCACATTATTTAAGCATTATTCAATATTTTTTTGTTTTTTACGTGAAATCAACAGTTTGTCAGTTGTAAATAAAATCATAAATAAGGAAAATAAATAATGAGATATTAGGGAACTTATTCAGTGTGTTAATATCCGCCCTATAGCCCTATGCGTGATGTTATCCTGAAAATGCTCCTCTGGCATCTGGCATCCTGATACTCCGGCAGGGGTGGCATTCGTCGACCCTTTTTTCCCACATTCCACAGTTCTTCACCCTCCCATCTCCTCCCCCTCACACCATGGGGCAATGGCGGCTAAACTTTTTAAATATCTAAGTGCCATTTTTGACAATTAAATTAATTATTCTTGGAGCCGAATTGACACACAATGCTGGAACATGCGAAAAACATAAATTGTGATTGTTTTTCATAGTAAAAAAAAGTAAAGCGTGCTTCGTAAAAAAAAAATTCAATGTTTTACGCTAAATATTCTTCTTTAAATACAAAACAATTTAGTCATTTCAACCTTCGAGTTTAAATTCCTAAATCCAAAACAATTCCTATCCTCTGAAATGAATATGCCTAACTTCATGCCTGACTCATTTTAATTCATTGCATACAAGTAAAAGAGCTATCCTTAAAGAGCTCAACTAAAACACATAAAATATATATACTTGATACATTACAATTTGCAAATTTGAGTGGTTGAAACTGGTTTTTGTGGTTTTTATTTATAAATAAATTGGTTTTTATTTATAAATAGATGAAATTGACTGGAATCGTACATAATTACGTAGTACATAAAACTAATATCAGGTTTAGGGACTGCATGATCTACCAGATTTAGCAAGTAATTAATTTCGTTTGGATTAACAAATGTGAATTTTTCAACCAAACCCCAGAGATAGAGTAGTAAAATAGAATATGTAACTTTGCTAATTTAGAACCTTGAATCATGTTCAGAAATGAAATACATTGTATTAAATATATTGTATAAAAGAATGTGTATATTTATGTTGTTATTTTAGTTTAAGGTTTTTTAGATTAGTTTAGTTTCATTTTGTTTATATAGATTAACTGTTACTATTATTATTTTGTTTTTTTAATTACTGTACATTGAGTCTGAATGAGCTACTATACCACTACTGCTAATGTTCGTAAATGTGGCAGAATGTAGTATTGTAAAAAAAAAATGTTAATTAAGATATTTTTTTTATTTATTGAAATTACAACAATCTGTCACTTAAACATTAGTTATAGTGAGATATAATAACATTTGCACTACATGTACACAAAATATAAAATAAACAGAAGCAAAATAACAATAAATAATGATCAAAAAGTATATACAATAAATAAAATAAAATGACCTAAAAATAATAAAATTAAAACTAAGCAAAAAACACATGCATACCTATATACACTCAGGCGAGGGAACTCGGAAGAAGTTATTTCCCAACTATCGAGGGAAAAGCTGGACTCGAGGAGAACCTGCGCTACTCTCTCAACCCCATCACTGGTACTAAAGCCAGCGGAGATAGATTGAGAGCACTTTAACCACATACACTCATGTCTTGAGTGGAGAATCTGGCCATTGCCAGAACTCCAATATATGCAATCTATAAAAAGTCGCAAGGCCACTGCCGTTTCAACCTTCTTGGAGGATTATAGGGATAGCACCCAGCTTGATAGGGATTGTGCAAGAACATTTGGATGATACGTAAGGTTCTAGTGAAATTTAGAGAATTATTCTGGGATAAGGTCTAGGACGAGGATATCAAGGCCATGGTGTATTGGCTACATAGAGTATGGTCGTATGTTTAAGAAAAAGACAAGGTATCAGATTGTATCTGCGAAAGGAAGCTGGATGTTGTTAAAATAAACTGGTGGACAGGATTTACACAAAGAGTGAAGATTATGTGTTTACATTTGGATTCCTTTATCTTAATGCACCATTTCTTCCACCAGTGTTCAATCAGGGAGAGGTGCATTTGTAGGTTTAATGACGCTGTTTTAGGATCTGAGTTGGTTGAAAGGATAGCGGTATCATCAGCGAATTTTGCCAGGAGGATATCAGGATGGATGGAAATATCTGCGGTGAAAAGAATGTAAAACATGGGACCTAAGACCCTCTGGAACTCCCGTCTCAATTAACAGTCGGACAATTGACAAATGGCAGTCGGAGAAGGCGGAGTTGCCGAACGGGCTAACGTGTGTCCACAGCACCGTCGTTGCCTGGCAACCTGATATATGATAAAATATAGTCACGAGTTCACGTCCAGGTGCCGGGGCGTCTTTTAAATCTCCGCCCACGCTCCCTGGCTCGAGAAAACCCGGTATAGCCTTAGAGGCGAGGAAGGGAAGGGCCCAATAAAAATGGGAGTCGGAGAATTCGGTACCACAGCGAACTTGAAAGGAGGGGTCAGAGAGGTAGGGTTGGAGTATTAGATATAAGGACTATGGTAAATAAAGTTCAAGCTTGAAGGGCAGTCCTGATTGCCATAGCCGGTCAAAAGCTTGTGCTTTGTCCAGAAATACACTCGAACAATATTGCTTCTTTTCTAGGGCTGAGGACATATGATCGACAGTGGAGTGTTGGGAACGAAATACGAATTGATGGCTAGGAATTTTACGGGATTCTATTATGGTAGGATTATTTTCAGTAGGATCTTTTCAAAAATTTTTGATAGGATTGGGAGTAGGCTAATGGGTCTATAGGATGATGTATTGTTGGCAGGTTTGTCTGGTTTGTCTGGAAAAGGATGATGGTGGAATGCTTTCAAAGGAGAGGAAAGTGCGTAGTTCTTAGGATGACATTAAAAATATATGTAAGAAATATGATAGCTTTAGGTGGAAGTTTCCAAAGGATCTGTAGGGTTAGGAGGTCGTATCTAGGAAATTTACGAGGAATGATATTGCTTAAAAGTATTTGACCTCAGATGGATTAACTGCTTTAGGTGGTAAGGAGAGCGGAATCGATGAAGAGTGAAATTCTTCTAATTTTGCGGTATGAGTTGGATGGAAGTGAATGTACTGGAGAGGTGTCTGACTCCTTCTAATTCCTCAGCTTTGTCTTTATCAGACACTTCCAAGGAGTCATCGCATCTCAAGGTGGTCAGAAATATAATAGACTTTTGGGATTTTTTTGGTGGTTTTTCAGAGGGAATTGTCGTGAACAGAGAGAGAAGCAAGGTAGGTATCAACGTATTGGGATCTAAAGAATTGTAATTCTTGCTTTAATAGTTTACAATAATAATTGTAGAAGCGGCGATCTATGGAGTGTTTGGTACGTTGCCATAATAATCTGGCACTGTGTTTGGTGTGGATTAGGTCTATGAGGTGTTGGAGTAAACTATTTTTCTTATGGGTTCATGAGGAATGATTTGTCCATACTTTCGACTGAATGGTGGAGGTGAAGAAATGTACGGGTTTGCCAAGGTCTTAAGATTAAAACGATTCTCCCCCTTTCTAACACATTCACACAAACACTTTCTCATCCTCGTAATAATCTCATGATAAGTCAGTTACCTGGCATAATCATAAGTAAGTTCCTACCGATTATATCAAGAAAATAATATTGTAAGATAAAGGATTTATTGACAACTACAATATTTTCGACATAAAGTTAATATTTATTGTTAAAGATTAAAAAACAATGTATATGTATATTAATGTACATGGTAATTATTTTTATTTATATATTCGACTACATGTAAGTGGGAATAACCTAATAAAATAAATGAGCCTTCCGTCTTCATATTCAATGTGGTCCAGCCTGCAACAAATATAGATTATATAATCTATTTAAGCGTGAGGTATATAATCCTAACATCTATTAAATAAAAAAATAAGATGAAATAATCATTGAAAATGGATAATTAAAACAAATGGGCCTCGTAGCTCTTATTGCCACTTCCTGGTGTTTAAATATATATTGCTGCCCTATTTTTACCGGGGTGGTAGTGTAAAAATTAATTTCTTAAGGTCGCCGAGAAATCAAAAATTAGCTAACCCAGTTGGGTATTGAATCCACGATTTGGAACAAAGAACTCTATGGCCGTCCCCATTTTCATCTATTACTAAATGTAATCCAGTTAATTATTTAAATATGCTATTGAGGCTGAAGTTATTATTTTCCGAATTAAATTAAATTCGTCAGAGCTGTTTTTGAGAAACTTATAAAAATGTAAACAATTTATAAAAAAAAGTAGGTGATTTTCATAAAAATGTTGCGGTAACATCACAGCAATGAATGTGCCAATGATTTGTTTTTACGTTAGAAGATGACACATTAGGAACGAGGGAGAATATAGGTAATAAACCAGCAGCACCTCTTCCCTGATCTATGTTTACTTTTTTAAATCAGAAAATCTTTCAACCAGCTCCTTTTCAGTCTCCTCCTGATGAGCATTTCATCCGTTGGTAGTCGTTTATAAGTCGTGTTATTATTCGTGTCCGCTTAGTTTAATATGAAATGTAATTGGTAATTACATTTACACCAGCAATGTTGTTAGTAACTGTGTAATTGGTATTTCGTTGAATGTAATAAACAAAAACAAATTAATGGTTGGGAATTATTTTTTTATGCGTAAGTATACCAACCAATCTTTTGTATATTAATTTTTCGATAACTTCGAAGCATATTGCACAGAGACTGATAGATCGGAACGAGGGATTGAAAATGTCTTTGTCAGCAGACATTAAATTATTCTATTAAGGTATCAATTATATTAAAGTTGTTTGATACACATTTTAATTTAACACACATACATATATATGACAAAAATTTACGTTATTCAGGTAATTTTTTAATAAAAAGATAACCTATAACAATTATTCAAGCAAAAAAATGTTTTAAGACCGCCTTACCTTCGCTTTTTTGCATTTTACAAACTCGTAAGCCGCTTCACATTTATCTGCTTTCGCTGAAATATTATTAATATATATTTCAAAATAATATTTCTGATATTTCAGAAAAAGTTGACTTCATATCATGAACATAAACGACATGTATATAAAACATACCTGTAACATCGCATTCATCAATCGCTGCCATCAACTTTGCTTTTAGCACTTCATCTTTCACTATTTCTTCAACAGCCTCTTTATCCTTTTCTTTATCGAAGGATCCATCTGCTTTCAACTAAATAATAGGTTATTATATATTTGTGGTTAAGTAACATTGATTTAATGTAATGTTGTGAGAAAATAATACTTACCACACCATTTTTCTCAAATGAACAGGCCAGTGTACACTGTAATATGGAAGAATTAATTATAATTTGAACTTAAAATTCTTTTATCAATAGAAATAAAATTATAAATTTTAAAATATTCCAATACACAGTTCAGTGTAATAATAATTAAACGAATTAGAGAAATAATTTTTAGAAGTTTTTGAGATATCTTGATAATATTCTGGGACAGTCTACTGACTTAACATATTACTAAATAGAAAATGTTGTAAATGCGGTTGGGACGTTTTTAAAATTTGCTATGGGAGACAAACAAAATTTCAACCAACCCCGTAATTTACAGACTAATTTAATTTAATTATCAATTTTTCGAATCTTTAATTAATTTTACCGGTCCTGATTTAGAATTCGTTCAGTAATTAATTTTGAAACAATATTAAAGAATAATAATGATCAAATATCCTTTCTATTTGTACAATGAATTTATAGAAGTTGTAGAGGAGCATACATTTTAATAACACAGTTGAAAAATTACGTATTTTGAGAGATTAATAACATAAAAATAAAGCCTGATATTATTTTTCTTATGGGTTCATGAGGAATGATTTGTCCATACTTTCGACTGAATGGTGGAGGTGAAGAAATGTACGGGTTTGTCAAGGTCTTAAGATTAAAACGATTCTCTCTCTTTCTAAGACGTTTACACAAACACTTTCTCATCCTCGTAATAATTCATGTTTTTTTTTTTTATTGAGAGAAAGAAAAAATTCATTTTGCCTTAATTAAGGGCATTGAGTATTTATGATGAATGAAGTACAATCATACCATATATACAAGATTATAAGAAAATAAAATAAAATAAAACTTGGAGTAACAGAATAAATCAAACTGATATAACATTAAATTAAAAACTAAAAAAAAATAAAAAATAAATAAATAAATAATAAATAAAAACACATTCAAACTTATTTACAATATTTACAGTCAGCCGAGGGAGCTCCGAGTCGGGCCTTTTCCCCCACGTGTGGAGGACAAGGCAAGACTCCAAGAGATCCCAGCGCTTCTCTCTCAGCCGCATCACTAGAATGGGAATCCAGTGGAGACTGAGAGAGGGCACTAAAGCCACATACGCTCATGACTTGAGTGGAGAAGCTGGCCATTGCCAGGACTCCAATGACGTCTTTACAAAAGATCAAGGGGCCACTGCCGCTTCAACCTTCGAGGAGGATTGTAGGGATGACTGGAACTAGATAAGGATTGTGCTAAGGGATTAGGATGATAGGTTAGGTTCTGATGAAAATTTCAAAATCGGGAATGAATAACGTCTACTACATTAGGGATGTTATGGTCATGATGTAAAGTTTTGTTCGTAACATAGTAAGGAGCATTGACTATTATACGGAGGATTTTAGACTGGAAGGATTGGATGCGTTTGATGTTCGATAATTTAGTTGTCCCCCACAGTTCAAGTCCGTAGGTCCAGATGGGTTTCAGTATGGTCTTGTATATTAATAGTTTGTTTTCAATTGAGAGGTTAGATTTTCTGTTAAGTAGTCTGTATAACTGGCCAAGTCGTCGGTTAAGCTCTTGTCTTTTAAGTCTGGTATGTGGGTTCCATGTTAGTCTTTTGTCTAAAAGGAATCCAAGATACCGAACTGTGTCTGAGATGGGAAGAGGTACTGAGTTGAAAAGGATATGTGGACAGGATCTGCGTCGGAGGGTAAAGGTGACATGCTTGCATTTGGATTCATTGATCTTGATACGCCAATTGTTGCACCATTGCTCTATTAGGGAGATGTGTCTTTGAAGGTTTAGGGATGCTGTTTCAGGGTCTGGGTGGGAAGATAGGATGGCGGTATCGTCAGCAAATGTTGCTAGAAGGGTATTAGGATGGGTTGGAATGTCAGCTGTGAAAAGGATGTAGAGAACTGGGCCCAAGACACTGCCTTGTGGAACACCAGCCTCAACTGGATAATAATTGGAGAATTCAGTGCCGCAGCGGACTTGAAAGGAACGATTTGAGAGGTAGGATTTGAGGACTAGATACAAGGATTGGGGTAAGTGAGTTTTGAGCTTGAAAAGCAAGCCATCATGCCACACCCGGTCGAAAGCTTGCGCTACGTCCAGAAAGGCACTAGTGCAATATTGCTTGTTTTCAAGCGCAGAGGATATATGGTCAACAACGCGGAGGCCTTGTTGAACAGTGGAATGTCTTGAGCGGAAACCAAACTGATGGGAGGGGATATTGTGGGTTTCGAGAATGGGTAGGATACGTTTGAGAAGGATTTTTTCAAAGATTTTCGAGAGGATCGGAAGTAAGCTTATTGGTCTATAGGATGAGGTATTATTAACAGGTTTACCTGGTTTAGGGAAGAGGATAATAATGTAGTGTTTCCATATGAGAGGAAAGTGAGTTGTGCGGAGGGTACAGTTATACAGGTATGTGAGGAACATGATTGCTTTTTTGGGAAGTTGTCTAAGGATCTGGGAAGTAAGGAGATCGTGTCCAGGGGATTTTCGAGGTTTCAGGTTGTTTATATGGAATTTGACCTCAGAGGGGTTGACAGCTTTAGGAGGCAGGGAGAGAGGAATCGGAGAAGAGAGGAGTTCATTAACTTCAGCAGTGTGGGTGGGATGGAGTTCGGTGTGGGGAGTGAATGTTTTGGATAGATGTTTGGCAAATTCTTCAGCTCTAGTCTCATCTGACGAAGCCCAGGTTCCATCATCTCGTCGGAGTGGGTGGGAAATAGATTGGTATTTAAGGATTTTTTTGGTCACTTTCCAGAGGGAGTTGTCATCGGTAGAGAGGGAGGAAAGGTAGGAATTGTAGGATTGGGATCTAAAGGTCGTCAGTTCTTTTTTAACCTGTTTGGAATAGTAATTATATAATTTCCGATCTTCAGGATGCCTGGTTCTTTGCCAGAGGGTCCTAGATTGGCGTTTGGATTTAATAAGGTCAGTAAGGTTTTGGGGCAAGGGATTCTTTTTGAGGGATTTTTTGGAGGGGAGTGGTGAGGATGCAGTCCAGACTGCTTGTTGGATCAAGGTGGTGAAGGAACTCACTGCATTATCTAGGTCTTGAGGAGTTTTTAGGGGTACTCTGAGGTCTATTGCATCTGTTATTGTTTGGCGGAAAAGGTTCCAGTTGACTGGGCCTCTGATGAATGAGGGAGGAGATAATTTGGAGATAGGCGATGCCGAAAGGGTTAGGTTCAGCGGACTATGGTCTGAGGAAAGGTCATCGAGCCGTGAAATTGAAAAATTTAGCGGCCCTAGGCCTTTGTGAATGAAGAGGTCAAGGAGGTCAGGATTACGGTTAGGATCTGTTGGCCAGTATGTAGGAGTATCAGGAGAAAGGATGTTGCTATTATGGGAATTAAGAGCAGACAGCAATGTTCGCCCGCGGGAATTCGTGGTTCTGGCTCCCCATTGCTGATGTTTGGCATTAAGGTCTGCACCTATAAGGAAATGGTGTCCTAGGGAATTAAGAAAGGAAATTAAGTTAGTTTCAGGTATTGGTTTTTTAGGTGGAGAGTATGCTGCGACAACTGTAACAGGAAAAAGTGAAGTTTGGATAGTTATTGCTGAGGTTTGTAGGAAATCGTGAACTGGTAGGGGATACAAATGATGGGAGAGGGATTGGTGGATGATGACAGCAGTGCCAGCATGTGCTGTTCCATCAGGGTGGTCAGTTCGATATATCTTGTAGCCAGGTATGTTGAACTGTCTTTTGTTAGTTAGTCGGGTCTCAGTTATTAGGCCTATGTCTATGTTATTGTCCTGTAGAAAAAAGGTTAGTTCGTTAATATGATTTCGAACACCATTCGCATTCCAAAGGAGAATGGAGAGGGGTTTTATTGAGGACATTCAAGGAATTCTTGGCGGTGGAATAAGATTGGCTATGACGTTTGTAAGTAAGGTAATGAGCGGGGTGATGAGGGATTTGATTTCGGAGAGGAATGATGTAAGGAGGCTGGTAAGGTCATTGGAATCGTTAGGGCGAGGAATGTAGGATTTTTGGCAAGGACTGAACTTTTAGGTGTTATTATGTTCGGGTGGTGAACCATGAGGTAATGGCTGAGTTTGCGGCAGGGCCTGAGGTTGAGAATGCTGTTCTAGTTCTCCTAACATTTGTGCATAAGAGACTTCTTTGTTTGCAAATCTTGAGGGTTGCCTTGGTGGTCTGGGTGTCCTGTAAGTCTCTTCATGTCTAGGTGCTGTCTGTAATCTTGATTTTAAGATTTTATATGTCTGGCATCCTTTGTAGTTTGCAGAGTGATCTTTATGGCATAATGCGCATACCGCAAGAATTTCCTTGGACTTACTGCAATCTTCCGACTTATGTTGTTGCCCGCACTTCACGCATCGCGGTAAGCGGTGGCAATAGCTTTTAGTATGGCCATATGATTGGCAATTATGACATTGGACTATTTCCCGTTTTGCATATGGTTTTTCGACAACTATACTAGTATAGTACAGGCGTCTTAGTTTATAGATGTTATCAACCCCAGTGGTGCGCTCTAGGTCAACAAAAAAAAGTGGTAGGGCTATTTTGTTGTTTGTACCTGGTTGCTCTTTGTTATCTTTACATACGTTGACAATTTGGCGGACACTGAAACCCAGTTCTGTCAATTCTTCTTTGATTGCCTCAGGTGGAGTTGATGGGTGGAGGCCTCTTATTACTACTCTTAGTGCTCTCTCTTGGAATAACTGATATGTATGGAATTCCGCCTTTGTATCAGTCAAGTATTTTATTATTTTTCTATATGATTCAGGGGAATCTGGCATTAACTTGGTGTCATTGATTCGACTTTGACATGTGTATTTACCATTGTCAAGTAATTTATTTAAGTGCTGGCAAAATAACGGAAATTTTTTATATTTTTTATAATATTGGAGGTGGTTTTGGCTCTCTGGGAGTTGATGGTATTTCCATTGTTTCTTCTGGAGTATTAGATAGTAGTTGGTATGGGTTAGGAGTAAAAAATGGTGATTCATCTGTTTCAATGTTTGTTTCGGTGGTCATAATTTCTGTTGAGGTACCAGGTTGTGGTTCATTTGGTCTGTCAGGTGTAGATGGTGGTGTTTTTCTGTTAGAACGCCTAGGCTTTTGTTTAACTGGCGAATTGATAGAGCTATTATTGCCTAAGCTTCTCGATCTTTTGTTCTTACTAGACATTATCATATGATAATATCGCATTTCATGTCAACGACTATTGAAAAGGTTGTTTTTTTTTTACGTAAAAATTACGCAGACCGATAGAGGGTCGAGTGATATGAACCAGCTAGTTAGACAACTCGACAGGTACTGAGACTGCCGGGCTCTAAGTTGGGGGACTGCAGATAAGAATGGCCACTCTATCTAATTCTATGGTTGTTTACACTATTGTTCAAACTTAATAAACAAGCGGTTACTAACCCTGTTTGTGGTTCTGTTCAAGAATTAACTATATAATTGTTAATTACACTGATTTTTTAACATAACAGTTCACAAATTCACTGATAATTAAGATACTTGTGAGAGACGATGTAGCAGGTGGGTTGTTAGATACTAGCGCATGCGCAGGACTGAATTCATGATTAGAGGTTAGTTACCTACCATAATCATAAGTAAGTACCTACCGATTATATCAAGAAAATAATATTGTAAGATTAAAGGATTTATTGACAACTACAATATTTTCGACATAAAGTTAATATTTATTGTTAAAGATTAAAAAACAATGTATATGTTATATATTAATGTACATGATAATTATTTTTATTTATATATTCGACTACATGTAAGAGGGAATAACCTAATAAAATAAATGAGCCTTCCGTCTTCATATTCAATGTGGTCCAGCCTGCAACAAATATAAATTATATAATTTATTTAAGCGTAAGGTATATAATCCTAACATCTATTCAGAAAAAAATAAGATGAAATAATCATTGGAAGTGGATAATTAAAACAAATGGGCCTCGTAGCTCTGATTGCCACTTCCTGGTGTTTAAATATATATTGCTGCCCTATTTTTACCGGAGTGGTAGTGTAAAAATTAATTTCTTAAGGTCGCCGAAAAAACAAAAATTAGCTAACCCAGTTGGGTATTGAACCCACGATTTGGAACAAAGAACTCTATGGCCGTCCCCATTTTCATCTATTACTAAATGTAATCCAGTTAATTATTTAAATATGCTATTGAGGCTGAAGTTATTATTTTCCGAATTAAATTAAATTTGTCAGAGCTGTTTTTGAGAAACTTATAAAAATGTAAACAATTTATGAAAAAAAGTAGGTGATTTTCACGAAAATGTTGCGGTAACATCACAGAAATGAATGTGCCAATGATTTGTTTTTACGTTAGAAGATGACACATTAGGAACAAGGGAGAATATAGATAATAAACCAGCAGCACCTCTTCCCTGATCTATGTTTACTTTTTTAAATCAGAAAATCTTTCAACCAGATCCTTTTCAGTCTCCTCCTGATGAGCATTTCATCCGTTGTTAGTCGTTTATAAGTCTGTGGTCGTGTCCGCTTAGTTTAATATGAAATGTAATTAGTAATTACATTTACACCAGCAATGTTGTTAGTAACTGTGTAATTGGTATTTCGTTGAATGTAATAAACAAAAATAAATTAATGGTCGGGAATTATTTTTTTATGCGTTAGTATACCAACCAATCTTTTGTATATTAATCTTTCGCTGACTTTGAAACATATTACACAGAGAGTGATAGATCGGAACGAGGGATTGAAAATGTCTTTGTCAGCAGGCATTAAATTATTCTATTAAGGTATCAATTATATTAAAGTTGTTTGATACACATTTTAATTTAACACACATACATATATATGACAAAAATTTACGGTATTCAGGTAATTTTTTAATAAAAAGATAATTATTTAAGCAATAAAATGTTTTAAGACCACCTTACCTTCGCTTTTTTGCATTTTACAAACTCGTAAGCCGCTTCACATTTATCTGCATTCGCTGAAATATTATTAATATATATTTTAAAATAATATTTCTGATATTTCAGAAAAAGTTGACTTCATATCATGAACATAAACGACATGTATATAAAACATACCTGTAACATCACATTCATCAATCGCTGCCATCAACTTTGCTTTTAGCACTTCATCTTTCACTATTTCTTCAACAGCCTCTTTATCCTTTTCCTTATCGAACGATCCATCTGCTTTCATCTAAATAATAGGTTATTATATATATAGTTGAGTAACATTGATTTAATGTAATGATGTTGTGAGAAAATAATACTTACCACACCCTTTTTCTCAAATGAACAGGCCAATGTACACTGTAATTTGGAAGAATTAATTATAATTTGAACTTAAAATTCTTTTATCAATTTAAATAAAATTATAAATTTTTAAAGATTCCTATACACAGTTCAGTACAATAATAATTAAACGAATTAGAGAAATAGTTTTTAAAATTTTTCTGAGATATCTTGGTAATATTCTGGGACAGTTACTGACTTAACAAATTACTAAATAGAAAATGTTGTAAATGCGGTTGGGCCGTTTTTAAAAGTTGGTATGGGGGACAAACCAAATTTCAGCCAACCCCGAAATTTACAGACTAATTTAATTTAATTATCAATTTTTAGAATCTTTAATTAATTTTACCGGTCCTAATTTAGAAATCGTTCAGTAATTAATTTTGAAACAATATTAAAGAATAATAATGATCAAATATCGTTTTTATTTGTACAATGAATTTATAGAAGTTGTAGAGGAGCATACTTTTTAATAACACAGTTGAAACATTACGTATTTTGAGAAATTACATAAAAATAAAGCCTGATATATAAAAAAAAAAGGTCATCTCGCTATCCAAATCTTCATTCCACCATGCCTGTCTGTTTTGTTATTATTATTATGTTATAGTTTTTTGATATCAGTATAAGCTTCGATTCTAAATGACTCGTAGATGAACTTATTGGTAAAGAAGGAAATCGCATGTGAATATGCTTTTCAACATTCGGTTACTTTTAGCATTCCATTGCCAGTGTGAGGGCACGTAAGTGATATAGTAGAAATACTTCAGAGCAGGATGGATATATTATCATCCAAAGTTCTCTTAATAGAAACAATACTGGCAACTATGTACTATTGCTAGGATTGTTGATCTTTTTAATCTAATTTTTTGTGCATTAGGCGAATCATACCTTAATATTTAAGTAGCTTATGAATTTTATGAATCCTTATTCATTTAAAAAAATCTGATCTCTTATAATAACCTAAGGAAGATTCATCGTAAAATAAAGAGATCATGTTTGAAATGATTAGGAAAAATGAGGAATTATCACATATTCCTGTTCGAGAAACGTGAATATAGTAAACCAGGATGAAGAATTGTTAGAAATAATCCAAATCAAAGCCTTAAGACGAAAATAAATTTTAACGCAAATACCTTAGCTTCTTTTGGAAATTCAGGATCGTCGTAATCTGAAAAGTAAAATGAATATTAGACTAAAAAACTTGAATTAAATATTAATTTGAATTTATGAAAAAATATAAAAAAAGAAATATGTCTTACTAATTTTATCTAAATCGCCATCAAAGTTATACTCTTTCTTACAAGCATCACTGATCTCCTTTAATGACATTGACAAAACCTGGAAGTAAAAATCAATACAACTTTATTATATTTAATCAATAAACTATTAACGTTTTAAAAAAACCTCATTGATCCACAAATTTGATTTCATTAATATAAAGTCTTGTAAATAAGAAACTTTATATCATCCATATTATAACGTTTAATCATTTGATGCGATGAAGTCTACTTGTAAAACATTACTCTTTGGTTTTTTGGTTCCTTATTTTTTTTTTTTTTTTTAACCATTACACCTCCAACATATGAAAAGGGCGGCATAGTGAAGTGCTTCAAATATTATGGTGTTATTGCTCTGTTTTTTAGCTTCTCCTATCCAGCATTCAGTCCCATAGACTTTTATCGTTTATGGAACTAAAACTGGAACGTTACCAGTGTGGATATTAAAACAAGAGATCAACGATACAACAGATCTTCTGCTCGAGGACTATTCTGGAACAAGGTCACGGGTACGATATCGAAACACTTCACCTCTATGTTGAAATTGTCCTACGACAACACTGAACCTGAACTGAGTTTATTATGTTGAGTAGATGACCCATGAAGGAGATTTGTGTTATGAAACAAGGGGGCACAGATCGGAAGAATTTACATCAAAGAGAGGACTCATGCTTTCTATCTTCTTGCTCTGGAAAAGGCAGTCTGTGACATTCACATTAAAAGGTCTGACACAATAAGTAAGATGATGGCGCAGCTTCTAGCTTTATCAGGCAATACCTTGTGGAACTGAGAGGCTGCAGCGAAGATAAGTTTGATTGTTAATGAAACCTAAATTAAATAATAAATATGGTAACCAATTGGATTATATAGCAGGATATTGTCAGGGAATTTCCATTCAGAATTTAGAAATAAGGAAGTGGATTCTGGTTGACACCGGCACTCATGAATTTTGGATTAAGTCAGAACTTGAAACTACCTGTGTGTGATACCTGTGCAACTTAGACTTTGGCGCAGCGCCTCAAGGGAATGCAAGGCAGTAAAAATGAATTATGGATCAGTGTTATTGGCAACGCAGATAAAAACAGTGATGATGTGATCCAGAAGAAGCTCTCGACTTTGCATGGACCTAACCTCAGAACACAACGATGTTTTTCAATTCAAAGTTGAAGTGATGAATGGAATGGTGAGAGCGTAAAGAAGAATATTCGACTAAGGTATAACTAATTAGAAGGTTGTAGTGTCATATTAGATAGAGATATATACTTTTTTGGATACAAATATAGCTATAATCTTAAGTGTCAGATTAATATTTAAATATTATAATCGTAACCAACCAACCAACAACTTCTTGTCCTACAGTTTCCTTTAACAATACCCCACTTATCCCTGTTGAGCAAATCCGATACCTAGGACTCCACCTGGACAAAAGACTAACTTGGAATCCTCATACTAGACTGAAACGACACGAAAGCGCTCGACGTTTCCGATTACTTCATCACTTACTCGACAAACGTTCTAATCTTCCAATTAATTACAAAAAACTCATATACTTGACTACAATAAGGCCTATTTCGACTTACGGATTTGAGATATGGGGCTCCACTAAACCATCGAATTCCTGTCGTATCCAATCCTTACAATCCAAAATCCTTCGTAAAATCCTCAATGCTCCCTACTTTGTTACAAATAAAACCATCCATAATGACCTGAATGTTCCTTTTGTTTCAGATCTGGCCCAATCCAGATACCCATCCTTCCACAATAAACTTCATAATCATCCCAACCCTCTCGTTTCTAACCTTGCTTCCTCTTCAATTCCTGATAACCCTCCGAGGCGTCTGAAAAGAAGATGGCCCCGTGATCTCCTAATGTAAACATATCATTAGAGTGCTACCATTGGGTAGTTACTCAGCAAGCGTTTTTCATGTCATTATATACATTATGTTCTAATTCACTAGATGTATTTATTTAATAAAGTCGTAAATAACATTAAGAAATAATAAAAAAAACATTTAAAAAAACTGTAAGTTCCATTGAAGGTTTTAGATAATATTACAGATAAAACGTAATGAAATGCTCCATGAAATGTGGTCATGTAAATACAGAATGTATAAAGTGTTATTTAATACAGTTGTAAATGTCTTTAAGAAATAAAAAATAATATATATTATAAACTTACAGACTGTGCTGTGCAAACTACAGCAAGGAAAATTAAGTATGAATACTGCATGTTTGCAAGAACCTGTGTTGTCGATACGTCTTAATTCCAGTAGAGAATGAATACTGACTGAACAAGCATTGGATCCAACTATATATACGTATATTTGGCACAATGGTGAGGATGTGAATCGTTCATTCATTGTCAGTGCATAACACAGTACTTCATTAGTATAAAACATATTCAAAATACAAAAAGCTTAATAGCTTATTTGTTACTTGTGGATCCGGAAATTGCATAATATTTTAGTTAGAGGTTTAGCTACACAAAGAAGAAAAGATATAAGAAAAAAAATTACAGAAGCTACCCCTGGTAAATCTTATTGGATCTGGCGCCTCAGAATACTGCGCTTATACATTAATAAGGATTATTTATTGTACCTAGGGAAAATACAACTACTTTTTGTCTCTCTGTACATGTAGGGTATTTTTAAACAATACTTAGGAAAAACATTATACCAGTGGTGAACTCTTTATGAGAATATACTTATGGTCTGCTAGATCAATCCAAGTTGTAGGTAACAAAAAAAATATAAAGCCAATCAAATTGTCATTTTGAACTTTTTACAGAAATCAGGTTGTAGCCTCGAAGTCTAATTCAAAGTACTCTTCGAGTAAAATTCAAAATTTAGGTACCATTTTCCTTTTTATGTAGGTTTACTTCCGAACTACTCCCAAGGAAATCACAGTCCACGCACCCTACAAGTGCCTTTTTTTTTACACGGTGGGCCAGACCCCCTTACCGTGCACCCCCTCCCCTCCCACATCCCTATAAATTGCATATCGTTGTGTTCCTTGTAACTATTTGTTTAAAAAAAGGCAATGTTCCCACAAAAAAAAGTGAACGCACTGCCCCAAAGATGGCGGATTGACGACTTTGACTTTAGTTAGTTTTTTGGTCACTGAGAATCAGCATTTGGCTTAATTCCCTCATAGTTGGTCTTTTATTAAAGCTGAATAGTCATAGAATAATAAAACAGGAAGAAATATTAAAAAATAGTTGGCTTATGCTATGAAAAACACCAGTAAATTCAATTTTTTTAACAAAAATATTTTCAAGTTACATATCAAGCGTCGTTTGTAATTAAACGGTCTACAATAACGCAAAATGTGATGAAATAAAACATCTGGAGAATATATTTTTCTTTCTAAAACGCTGATTATTTTTTAGAAAGTTTAAGCAGTTCCGTAGAAAATACACTTATGCGGCAGAAAAGCGGTACTGGCGTGAGTGCCTACAGGCATCTACCACACCATTCAGTACACATATATGGCTTAGTTATAGTGATATAATAACATTTTTGGTACATTATATTGGTTTTATTAACAAACAAATATTAATGCAATAATCTATATGTTAAAAAAAAATTAAAATAAAAAAAAAATGTATTATTATTATTTTTTTAATTTAACCTCCTTTATTCTATACGTAGGTTGTTTAAGAAGACCTCAATTGTAAAAATGATATAATTATAATAACAAAACTTAATAAAAAAATACTTTGCTAAATATCTTTATTTTTTTATTTAACGTTTGCAATTTAAAACTATGTTTTGTATATTTACTGATTCTTAGATTTAATTAAAATTTTTATACACTTCCAAGGAAATGAGTCATATTAATACCTGTTTATAAACTAAAATAATATATACCTAATCTAAACGATATATAATGAATATCAACCGGGTTATTTAGTAAACCTCATATATCACTAATTAAAATATTAATTTTTATTTCCTTTATTTTGTGCGGAAGTTGGACTATATCATAAATAAACAGTAAATTTTAATATTGAATGAATTATTCTCCCTGCACAAAGAAAGATAGAAAGGGTGACGCTATAAGTTCTTCTATAAACCAGAACTGATTGTTTGTTTTTGGTCTTAAAATGAGAAAAACTCGAAATTGAACCAGAAAATTGGAAAAATACATTAAGCGTACGAGAAAGGAAATGCCAAAACCTCGGAAAAGATAAAAAAGACCAGTATCCATTATATAGCTAAATGAATGTATAGTAGACAAATGTACAGAATATTTCAAGATGCTGCTAAAAGGGGATCATTTGCAGTTTGATGATATTAAGTGGACGATGTATGTTTATTATGTTGAAAACCACATTATTTTCGATTGCTACTGAAGGTGCACATCGGGACTATCTTCACTTTGAAGCAGGATATAGAGAGGTATATCGAAAAAGTTATAGCTCATAGTTCTCCTTTTTTTTAGTACATTTGCAAACGCTTTTTTAAGGAATCTTATATTAGTTATAGCTCGTTATTGTTCAGGAATTGCGGCATAAATTGTTCAGAGTTTGTACCATATCATAAAAAAATAGGAAATTTTAATATTGAATGCATTATTCTCTCTGCACAAAGAAAGATGGAACGAGTGAAACCGAACTGCTTCGCACAGTTTTGCGCGTACATAGGCAACAAGTATGTTAGAAAATAATATGAAAGGACTGTATTTTTTACCTTTACAAGAAAGGAGATACTAGGAAATGTAATACCCACCAAGATCCATTCCTGTTTAGTGTACCAAAGAAATTATACTCAAGAATCGTAGAAGCTGGAATAAGAAATATTTTCGATTGCCAGAGCGATATGGATTGAGAAACTCTAGTTGCACATTGGAAGAGAAGTTAAAAATCGGGACTGCCTTCACTTTAAGACAGGTTATAGAGAAGTCCATAAAATAGAAAAATAGCTCTCTATCTTCTTAGTGCCTCACACTTTGGATTATGATAATATCTAATTGTCTTTCGGAAAAGCTCGTTTTCCTTATAGATTCCTTAAAAAATCGTTTGCAAATGCACTAAAAAGGAGGAGAGCTATGAGCTATAAC